TGTAACCTTTGTTGTACGTGACATGTTATAGAAAAGAGTATATTATGTAATATTAAAATTGTTATATATTTTGTGCTGTGTGTGTTTCTCCGTTTCTCCCATAGCAGTGAAGCCCCGCCCCCTCCACGGTTGCCGAGCGACAGAGGAAGCTTCACTCTCGCCATTATCCCAGTTCTAAACAGCTTTAGCTTGGTAGCCGACTTTTACACCTAATTTTACCCCGAACAAAGCGATGGAGGTGACAATGGACCCGTTGTTTCTGGCGTGGAGCTATTTCAGACGGCGAAAACTCCAACAATGTTCTGATATTTGCACAAAAATATTACAAGACAACTCGTACGACCAGGTACTGTGGTGCAGTTAGCCTGGGGCTAGCCTAGCATGCTAGCGATTATCCATTAAGAAAAGCCTGCTAGTTTGCTAACGCAGGAAAGCAGTAAAACCTGGAGTTTAATCCCAATTAGTCCAGTACTTGTAGTTTAACATAATTAAACTGAGGTAATGTTAACGTTATATTTACTGGCAAGTCTTTGAACCAACATTTATATTGTTTTTTGAAACATATTCGTGTCACTGCTGTGCATTTCTTTTTCACATCTCATTTCTGTTTTTCTTTGAACCATGTTTTCCCGTTCATTTTCTATTTCCCCTTATTTATTCACATCTGTCCTCAATTTCTGTCCTCTTCTCTCACTGATTCACTGCATGCTGTCCCAAGGACTCCTCTTTACCTATCTCAGAGGTAACCATGTTCCTCTCTGCCATCCTTTGTGGTGACGACAGTTCAACAAAGACTGTAACATGTTCACCTGTACATCCGTGGCCATCTATATGATTGAAACATTGTCTGCTTCATAGGCTGCATGGAGCTTGAAAACCCGTGCTCTCACAGAGATGGTGTATATAGATGAAGTTGAGGTCGACCAGGAGGGCATTGCTGAGATGATGCTGGACGAGAGCTCTATTGCTCAAGTTGCACGTGAGTTCAAACTCTTCTCATTGCCTTACATTTAGGTATATTAGAAATTCTTAAATGGGTCTGATTGATAAGACTTCACTTTCTGCCAGGACCCGGCACATCACTGAGGCTCCCTGGAACCAGTCATGGCGGAGGTCCCACACCGGCTATCAGGTACTGTCTGCCAGGCTAAAATGCTTTTACCATTGACAACTTTTTCAACAAAGTAATTAACAGTGATCTAATTTTTATTTTATGAATTCAAGGCCTTTGACACAATCAGGGCGTCCTATAACAGGATTTGTGAGACCCAGCACACAGTCAGGGCGTCCTGGGACAATGGAGCAGGCCATCAAGACCCCGCGCACTGCCAGCACTGCTCGTCCTGTCACTAGTGCTTCTGGAAGATTCATCCGTCTTGGAACAGTGAGTACATGTGCATGAAAGTGTGTCAGTCTACAGTGACTGAGAGGCTTCATGTGAAACAATCGGAATTTGGCTTCTCAGTATTATCTGCCTCTCAGAAATGATTATTTCCAAATAATGTGACATTATTGTTGCTACATTGACTGTGAAGATGATATTTGGCATGACATTTTGTTTCACTGTTTCTATAGGCTTCAATGTTAACCAATCCCGAAGGACCATTTATAAATTTGTCAAGACTAAATATGGCCAAGTATTCTCAAAAGCCTAACTTATCCAGGGTAAGAATGATACTGTTATTTGCATACACAAAAAATAATACATATTTTTTTCTTCTCATATCAAGTAACCATTATTTTGCTTTCTCAGACACTTTTTGAGTATATCTTCCATCATGAAAATGATGTGAATAATGTAAGTGTTCACTAAAAAGCTACTTCATTAATAATATTCATGATACTTTGTTAGATTGTTGACTATTAAAAATGTAACTCAAACCTTATATTGTGTCCAGGCTTTAGATTTGGCTGCTCAAGCTACTGAACACGCCCAGTTCAAAGACTGGTGGTGGAAAGTTCAGCTGGGGAAATGCTACTACAGGTACCTTACAGACATCTGCTCATTTCTGATGTTTAATGACATTTCATTTTTATAAATCATGCTATGAGTAATGTCATCGGTCTTTGCAGGCTTGGTTTGTATAGAGAATCAGAAAAACAGTTTAGATCAGCTCTCAACCATCAAGAGGTCGTGGATACATATCTCTACCTTGCAAAGGTAGGGAAACATTACCAATTTGATGCATATTGGAAAATAGACATTAAAGCATATAAGCATGTTCAAAAACCCAAAATACAAGAATAGACCTGAAAAGGAATATGATATTTCCCTGGTAAGCCAATAGTTTGCTTTTTTATTAAACCTTGCATGTTTTCCCCTTAGGTGTATCAGCGCCTGGATCAACCAATAACAGCACTCAGCCTTTTCAAGCAAGGTCTGGACCATTTTCCTGGTGAAGTTACTCTTCTAACAGGAATCGCTCGCATACACGAGGTACAGTTTGATCCTTACTAAAGAGTCAAATTAGATAACACTGCCATAATGAAATGGGAAGCCATATTTATTGTTTATACTGTCACAGGAGATGAACAACATCCCATCAGCCACAGAGTATTACAAAGATGTCCTGAAGCAGGACAACACTCACGTGGAGGCTATAGCCTGCATAGGCAGCAATCACTTCTACACCGATCAGCCTGAGATCGCACTGCGCTTTTACAGGTCAGAGAAACATTTATGCATAAGAAATGTAATGCATTTTTACAGGATATGTAATGAGAAATGATACCCCATCTGTGATTAAATAAGTTTCTCCCATTGCTAGACGGCTACTCCAGATGGGAGTTTATAACTGCCAGCTGTACAACAACCTGGGTTTGTGCTGCTTCTACGCGCAGCAGTACGACATGACTCTGTCCTCATTCGAGAGGGCCCTGGCTCTGGTGGCCAATGATGAAGAGCAGGCTGATGTGTGGTACAACGTTGGACATGTGGCTGTGGTGAGTTACCAATCACTTAAAATATCCCAGAATGTCTGAGTACTGCAGGAATGAGTCCCAAAAAACGGAAACTAGTTAACATCTTTGATCTTCCAGTTCCCTCGTCTCAGGAGTAGGAGCTTTGTATTGGTTTTTGTTTAGATGCCTGAAATAAGCTCAGGATATTATCAGGTTTTGTGCTACAACTTAAAATATGTCAGTTATTATCAAACTTCTGAATTATGATTTTTTTCTTTTCAAAAAAGCGGCTGTTAAGCAGCTGAAGGGGACTCTAAAGGTCGTCAGAGACATCATGACATCCACGGTCTGGAAAACCTCATCTACTCAGTGGAGGGGTTTTGTTAAAGTTATGCCACTTAGCTTTGAACTTTTAATGATTGCATTTGCACAAAAATCATTAAGTAGTGTTTATTCGTTAGGATTATCTTGCTAAACAAAAGGTGTAAATATAATTTACCCTTTTTTTGCCACTGAGCTTTTTCTGGCATTAATCAAAAATGTAATGAAGAAATTCATCATCAAGAGGCTTTTTTTCTTGGGAACCAGAGCAATAATAAACTGGCATACAAAAAAATTAAATTCCTGTAGCACTCTTTACTCAATGTAACCCCTTTTTATATGGTTTACAGTTAAAATAATGTATATTCATTTATTGTTAATAGAACTTAAAAGCTTACATCAAATGCACACAAATTGGTATAGTGTTTGAATGTTTTCTTTTTACAGGGCATTGCAGACTTGACGCTGGCCTACCAGTGTTTTAAACTGGCTTTGGCTTTTAATAATGACCATGCTGAGGCCTACAACAACTTGGCTGTGCTGGAGCTGCGCAAAGGTCGAATCGAACAGGTGAAGACAAATCCTTAAGTCATGTAGCTTGTATTCCACTGTTAAAATATGACGTATGAGATCATAACTTTGTAATTTTAGACCCTCTAATACACCGGAATTAGCTAGCTATTAGACTACAAGCACTAGGTAATAAATCAATTTAGCAATAACATTATATTGTAGGACAAGACATTATGAGATGTATTTGGTTATCTCACGGCAACAAAGGCTGTGTGTTCCCCACACATACAGCTAGGTGGCAGCCATCAGCTGAAAGTCATGCCATGCTGAAATAAGTGCTGGAATAATAAAACTGGTGTGTTTTTGGATAATGATATTTAGAATGGTAGTTATGAGTGAAACTATTATTGTGTAGTGATATATATTACAGTGATGTTTGGATGATAAACAGCACACAAAGTACCTATTGTTTAATTGTTTTGAATGCCTTAAAAGTCTGATTGCAACACTGCATTATACCCTAAAGAAAGTTGATATATAGAGTCTTCAGTAAACACCAACAGTTATATTCTTCAAGCTTAACTTAAACTGCCCCTGAGCTAATGACATAGCTAGCTAGTGCTAGTTAGAATGGCTCATGATTAAGCTTGAAGATGCTCATTCTTCAGATGTTACTATAAATGAGGAATTGCAAGCTGTAGTTAAAGCAACATTTCTGCTGTTTTTCTAATTATATAAAATGTATGAGCCCAGTGAGAATCTGAATGTCTGATTTCATGGAATTTCTTCATATATAAATGTTGATAATATGAATGTTTCTTTGACCCAGTCTAAAGCCTTCCTGCAGACGGCTGAATCACTGGCTCCTCACATGTATGAGCCACACTACAATCTCTCCATTCTCTCTGAAAAGGTAACTTATCCCTTTTTTTTATATCTGATTCTAAACATCTGAACTAGTTAAAGGGGCAAAGTAAAATCTCCACAACACAGTCTACCCAAGTGATTTTTTTTCCTTCTGTTTCTAGATTGGTGACCTTCAGAGCAGCTACACTGCCGCCCTAAAGTCTGAGGACTCCTTTCCGGAGCATGTTGACACTCAGCAGCTTCTGAAGCAACTTCGAGAACACTTTTCGGTGCTGTGAGTGTCTGTCCAGAATGTGTAGGAAGCAAGGTGTGGTTCGAATAATGTAGTTGTCATAGATAAGACATATTGTGCCGTCTTAAGCTTCATAACAATCAGACATAGAAACCAACAAATATGCTTTGTATTGACTAAACTCTCAGTTTATTTGGTACATCGTCTTCATTCAACAAAAATAGTAATCTTGCCACTGCCTTGATTGGTTAGTTGGTTTGTGTGTGACTGAATTAACTGACAGAAAAGTTAAGCAGCGGAAATATTCTAAATATATCATATACTCAAACTGATATTGATTTATTTTAGGTAGCCCTTTTTTAAGAGGCTATTATATGTTTTGCTGCCAGCCACATCAACAACAATACATCGCGTCCCATGCTGGCACTGCTGTATTTTTCCAAAGTAAGGGCTTGTCGACCACTGTTAGTGGAATATACAGTGAGTTTGGATAAGAATTTCATGCAACACAATTTAAAAACATCTGAACAAATCCTTTACCTTAATAACTCAATGCTAAGTGATATCTTAATGCTGCGTTGTGACTTGTAAGTATGTACAATTATGTAGAGGTGGGTGTTTAGCTGATAAACTAACTTAATGTACAGACCTGTATAGTATTAAGTCATATGCACATAAAAAAGGTCATTTATTTATTTTATTACTAGAAAATGGTGATCTTACATTTGATAGTTCACTGCATAAATCAAATGTATTTTATTACGTTTACCTTGCCATTGTGTAGTTTCCACAAATATTGAAAGGACAATAAAAAAAGATTTGGAAGTTGTGTTTTCAATGGTCTCAATTCTTGATTGCAACAATTAATTAAAAAAAAATCACATTAACCTGCAGACCTTGTTGTCATTTGGCAAATCCATTTCAGTATATGATGGCATGGAGCTTGATACCAGATTTCAAAGGGGCTGCTTCTGGGATACATTGCAGCACAGTCCCTGTCATCAATGCGTCTCCACTCTTCACCAATCCAGTAACTGAAACAAATAACAATTTTGTTGAACCAAATAAACTACTATGTCACGAAACACATTATTAATCACTTTTTCATTTGTCAGCTGATAGAGGTGTTCTAGTGCTTTGCCTGTTTTATCTTTTTATGCAGAATGTTGATTATTATCTCAGAGCTAGTTAAATACATGGGACTGGGGTAGAGATGCAGCACAAATCTAATTGACTCCATTGCTTCAGAAGTTTACATTACACCCACATACAATAAGTGCATTTTGCAATTTGTTTTTGGTTGACCAGAGACCGAAAATGTGTAGAATAACACATTATCTAAACGTAACTAGCTCCTTATGGTTCTGGCAATTTGATTGGATGCTGTTGGAATGTTTCAGACAAAGTGGATGTGGGTAATTCAAAGAAAGATATTCATTTTCTTTGAATCAAAGTTCAAGTGAAGTCTGTGTAGTGTCATTAAAGTCCTAAAGTAATTTGTGAATTTAGATCTTTCTTGTTTGTTAATGTTACCCTGTGGTCCATCAAGTCATTTCCATATCCCTTCCTCCTCAATATCTCTCGACCCGAGTTCATCCTTTGTTATCAATTTAGATATTGCCAGCTGCCAATGAAAATGTTTTTTACAGTGTACTTAATGCCTGAGCTTGCACTTTTTTATTGTTGTTGTTTTTTAAAAGGGTTTTATGTCTTGTAATTGCATTGTTGAGGAACCTGTGACCCTAGTTTTTAATTAATTACATACAACACCATAGTTGTGTATATGATATGTCAATAAACCTTTGATATATTTTTTATTTAATAATGCACCAGAAATAGTACTATATTACATTATATAATGGTCCATTCTGCATATTAGGTGTTGTTTACTTTTGGTACTTTGAGAATATTTGTTATGTTATTATTTTTGTGCTGCAAGATGATGGGATAATAACGACTTACAATAGACTCCCAGGCCAATGTCCACTGCTAGTAGAATGACAGCAAGCACTGCAAGGCTTACTGTAAGCCATTTGTAATGTTTCAAACTGGATTCAGGTCTCAGCACAGACATGGACACTGCGCAGAAGTGATGGACCAATAGCAAAGACAAGAAAATTATACAATATAAAAGCAGGTCAATATAGCAAAAATAATAAACTGTATATTTTTGAATATGGTATTACAGTTTATTTTAGACGTGGGACGTTTACCTCGTTCTTGGTTTGAATAGAGAGTGAGCTCATCTCCACTGATGTCCTCTTGGTGGATCAGTTTGTTATAAGAACCACCAAATGTACCTGCATTTTCTGTGTCCATTTTAACTATGAGGATGTAAGCAGTCTTAGTCTGACGTGACTGTTCAGAAAGGACTATTTGTCAGGACCTTGCCCTGTGTGTGTGTGTGTGTGTGTGTGTTTGTTTTAACACCATTACAAACAGAAAATGAAGTTCATTTGTTAAACATTTACAGGAGGATGCACGTAATTTGAAGAGTAGTTTAATTTTCTGATCACAAGATTATTTATGTATACAAACATTCAAGTATTTTTGGATTCCTTTAGATGTCACTTTTATTACATTAAAACGGCAATTACAGAATACTAGCTCAGCACAGTTTAAGAAGAATAGTAATGTATCAAGCTGCAGTTTATTTCAAAGATATTACAAAGACATATAGTACATGATTTGTCCAGTTATTGTGATTTCAACTTTTTGAAAGGTTTTAAGTTTAACTTTGCTCCATTTCACATACAGTATAGGCCTACAGCTTAACAGAAGGTTCAAGGCAGTATCCAATAAACCATTCCCCCCTGATATCAGCACATTATTAAGAATCTGCACAGTTTCCACTCTGAGGTCCCTAACTGTTATACTGTCCATTTCTCCAGCTACTTTTAAGAAGTCTAGAATTTAGTTTTACCAGTGAGCCATGATACTGTCACAAAACTTAAGAAATCAATAGAAAAGCAGTCTGTGAGATGCTTGCTTACACTGTTTCCCCCTCGGTTACATTGTTAACCTGGACCCATGTTCCCGCCGTCGCTACATCACTCAGGCCTATCCAAAATCCGTTCTACCATCACATACCACCGCCTCCCAGTTTCGGGACGTTGTCAATCATGAGTTGCTGTGATACTACTCTCACTCACAGGAGTTACATTGCACATTTCAAGTTTGTCAGGTCAGGTAGTATTATGTACTATATGATCATTTAGACAGAAAATCCCAATGACAACAGCAGCCATCAGCAGTACTGCATTTAGCATTCCCAGGCTGATTATAACCAGACGGTGGTGTGTAAATGCAGATCCACTGCCCTGTGTAAACAGAACTTGATCATGTTCTTTTGAGTGAAAACCTTGATATTGGCTTATGTTAAAACTAGTGCTGTCAAAATTATCGCGTTAACGGCGGTAATTAATTTTTTGAATTAATTGCGTTAAAATATTTAACGCATTTAACGCATGTGCAGAATGGCCGGCCCCATACGTGCCACCAGTGGCAGCGCCAGGGTATGGCTGGGGTAGGCTACACCCATACCAAGAAATGGCTTAGCCCCACCATGAAAAATGATGTTAAAGTAAGCAAAATAAAGTCTGCCAACTCGCGCGGAGTAAATTGCACAGACAGCAGTTAGTAAGATTGATTTCAGTAGCCACGGTTTTGAAAACTTTTGTCACGTAGTGATCGTCTTCTCAATAGAACATCTTTGATAACGGCGTGGTGTTGTTGCAGGAAGTCCCGACGGAGAATACTTTTGCTGTAGTACAGGGGTGCACATAACTGGTACGCAGGTTATGTGTGTAATCTGAAATGCGTACCGTCACTTGTGTCACAAAGCGCATTTGCGTACCGACGTACTTGTGAAGCTTTTCCAGAAGGCGGTTAGATCACCGGACGACAGAGTCGGTCTCCGTGTGCACAGACAGGGCTGCTGTTAACGTCGGTCTGTTCAACGGAATTGTGCCAAAACTACGCCAACCGGCTGCGGAGGGAGACTCCCCCCCCCCTTCACTGGAGAACTGCGCTAAAACAGCTGATCACAACGTTCACACTCCGTGGTCAATAAGTACTCCACGAGCCGCCGCCCCCCCCCCCTCTGTCGACTTTCCTGAAGTACTCCCCCGTTGATAGAAATCAACACGTAATGAATTAAGACCCCACGGTTTAATGATTGATAGGTGTGTGGGTTGTCTTTCATTTTGACACGCAGAACATGTTATAATAAACATAGATACTGTATGTTAAATGGATATATCCGCCTTCTTTCCATTCCCACAACAATATACATAAATAAATGGCATATTTTGGAAAATAGTTCGAATGGTGATTAATCATGATTAATTAATTTTTAAGCTGTGATTAATCTGATTACAAATTTTAATCATTTGACAGCCCTAGTTAAAACCTAAAATAAAAGTTAGAAAAAATGGGTTCCTACCTTTTAAGAGGTTACAGACAATATAGGTAGATGGATAGGATTGAAGAAATTAAATAATCACAGTTTTAGTTTAAAAAAACATAGAAAGAACATTACAAATTATATTTAACAATGCTTTCAAATATTTTGAAGAAATATTTAAGTCCCTTGAATGGTGTAGATTCCTGACTGAAACTATTAATTAAATAAGGAAATGCAATTAAATTAAAATCAGATTAACCCTCCGACCTTGGTGTCATTTGGCAAATCCATTTCAGTATATGATTGCATGGAGCATCATTCCAGGCTTTAAAGGGGTTGCCTCTGGGATATGTTGCTGCACAGTCCTCACCACCACTGTCGTTGGGCTCTCCATCATTCCAGTAACTGAAACAAATAACAATTTGAAACACATTGTTAATCACTTTTTCATTTTAAAGGATGATATCACAGATGGATTATAGCCACAGCTGTAAGTATGTGAAAGTGGTATCACAACAACTCCAAAAAACACAATTTGACTACAATGAGTCATCTGTTGCACTTTTAGTATGAACACGCCCATGGGTAGGAAAATAGTTTCTGTTTTGATTCTTAAAAAAGTCATAATGTGCTCTTCACCCTTTTCCACCTACACTTTGTGCATTCTGCAATTTGTTTTTTGTTGACCAGGGCGCATTATTTATAGAATACCAAATTAACTTTAACGTAACGTAAGCTCCTTATGGTTCTCTCTGGTCATTTGATTGGATGCTGTTGGAATGCTTCAGTGTGGATGTGGGTAATTAAAAGAAAGGTATTCATCTTCTTTGAATCAAAGTTCAAGTGAAGTCATACTGTAAGTGTTAATAAAGTCCTGTTGAGTCTAAAGCAATCACATTCGTGAATTTAGATCTTTCTTGTATGTTAATGTTACCCTGTGGTCAGTCTTGTTCCATCAAGCCATTTCCATATCCCTTCCTCCTCGATGTCTCTCAATCCGATCCAGAAGCCACTGTGGGCTATGGGTCGAGAGGGGACTCGATAATTTGTTATCAATTCAGTTATTGCCAGCTGCCAATGGAAATGTACACAAACAAACATGTACATTACATTCATTTATCTTGTTGGTTTCTGTGTGACACCAAGCACATTTACTGCTCAGAAATAAAATGTGAAGCCTTATAAAGAGAATTACAAAAGATGGAGTAGTAGTCTTACGTGTTTCTCTCTGCTGTCGATCACTGCCAAGTCACCTCCTTGGTTTATACAGAACTGTCTGGCTTCCTGCCATGACCTTGGTGAAAAAGCATCAGAGAAAGCGAAGTAGTAACACACTGAGTACATGAAGGTCCATCCTGGTAGACAGTGTCTGCAGCCCTCTTCTGTTGCCAAAGATAAAGGAAAACATAATGTGTTGTAGGTTTGGTTGGGTCAAAATAATTGTTGTTAACACAATCATATGAAAAAAAGCCCTCACTAATCATTGGGATGTGGGATTTCAAAGCTGCTATTTCCATTAGAATGTTGTCACTCAGCTTAAGGTAGTCCATGCTTCTGCTTTTCTGGTGATCAAGCTCCCACTTGGTAATTTGCTGCTCCCTTATCTCACTGGCCAACTGTTTCTTGGCTTCGTCCCTGTGCCAGATCGCAGTGTCGTAAGCAGCCTGCAGTTTGGCCACCTCAGCACTGATGTCCATTATGGTATCCTGTCCATCGGTAAATTTACCATCTGTAAGTGGTCAAGACTTATAGTGTTACTGAAGAAATCATGTTTCCTTAAATCACAACACTTTTTACAGTATGGCCAACAGTAGAAAATACAAGCAGGAAAATGGTGAAATTAAATAATATATTCAGACGGGTATTCAAAACATTTGTAGCCTATAATTACATTGCCATACGTGAGTTATTTCTTGGTGTGTTGTTGTTGAGGTTTGTCAAGAGTTATATTTAAATGTACATCTATAGAAAGTTTAACTTATAGTATTTTATCGTATAGGCCTAAACATGTTTGTTATGTTGCAATGCAAGCTGTCATACAGCATTCATTATTGGTCTGTGAGCACTGACAGGAAACAACACTATTATGTTCCTACCAACACATATAGTATATAATTACCTATCTCCATCAACTCCTTAGGAAAATATCCAGCTAGCTCTTAAGCTAAATGCTACTGTACAGCTAGCAGCTAGCTAGTCGTTAATTTAGCTTCCTAATGAACAGTGGGTTTATCAGAACACCAACTGTTGCTTCCTTTGGAAAATGTGATGATGAGTGGTGATCAAAAACAGTCAAACTTTGAATAGCTTTAACTCTAGTGTTAATTTCGATTTTTCTACTTGAAAATTAACTTTGCTCTCTAGAGTAGGCTGACACACTCCAAAAGTGGAGCTTGCTTTTTCTTATCAAGCTCCACTTTTGTGGAATCAGCTTCCAGTTTGTGTTCGGGCGACAGACACCCTATCCGTTTTTAAGAGTGTGCTTAAGACCTTCCTTTTTGATAAAGCTTATAGTTAGGGCTGATTAAATTCAGCCCCTAGTTTTGTTGCTATGGGTTAGACTGTCGGGCGACACCATACTTCTTCCTTCTGTCTGTGTACTCTCATGTTCCGAATAACCCAGCTTCCCCCAAATTTCTTTTTGGTGTCTATCTACCCCGGGATTTCGAGTCGTGGCTGATCCTGTCACTGTGGTCCTGCCTGACTTTCATCATATTACTTCCCTGATGGCTCCCACAGGATTGTTGACATCCTCGTGGACTCATCTTATTATAGACACATGCATTTCCAAACATTTGGTCTACCTATGTTGTAAATGTATTGTCTTTTCGATTTACACACGGCATCTATTGCACATCTCTCCGTCCTGGGAGAAGCATCCCTCCTCTGTTGCTCTCCCTGAGGTTTCTCCCATTTTCCCCTTTAAAACTGTAGGTTTTCTCCGGAAGTTTTTCCTTGTACGATGTGAGGGTCTAAGGACAGAGGGTGTCGTATTGTCATACTGATATTCTGTATAAACTGTGAAGTCCACTGAGACAAATGTAACATTTGTGATATTGGGCTAAATAAACATTGATTGATTGACATTGGTTTTTAAAAAGAGTTAAATTGCAGTGGTGCTGCAACATTTATCTCAAGTACTGTATGTAGGCTTTACATTAAAGTTACTTGAATATTTCCATGTTATCCTAATTTGTACTTATACTTCATTACTTTTTTAATGCATATGTTGTACCTTTTGCTCGACTATATTTGATACCCTTATACATAAACTAATTAAAGCATCAGCTAAATGCAATAAATAAAATTAGAGCCTCTTTCAGGCTGCAAAAATATAGTACAATGCCACAATGCTTTGTGCTGCAAGATGGTGGGATAATAACGACTTACAATAGACTCCCAGGCCAATGTCCACTGCTAGTAGAATGACAGCAAGCACTGCAAGGCTTACTGTAAGCCGTTTGTAATGTTTAAAACTGGATTCAGGTCTCAGCACAGACATGGACACTGCACAGAAGTGATGGACCAATAGCAAAGACAAGAAAATGACACAATATAACAGCAGGTCAATATAGCAAAATAATAAACTGTATATTTTTGAATATGGTACCAGTATCAAAGTACAGATTACAGTTTATTTTAGACGTGGGACGTGTACCTTGTTCTTGTTTGAATAGAGAGTGAGCTCATCTCCACTGATGTCCTCTTGGTGGATCAGTTTGTTATAAGAACCACCAAATGTACCTGCATTTTCTGTGTCCATTTTAACTATGAGGATGTAAGCAGTCTTAGTCTGACGTGACTGTTCAGAAAGGACTATTTGTCAGGACCTTGCCCTGTGTGTGTGTGTGTGTGTGTGTTTGTTTTAACACCATTACAAACAGAAAATGAAGTTCATTTGTTAAACATTTACAGGAGGATGCACGAAATTTGAAGAGTAGTTTAATTTTCTGATCACAAAATTATTTATGTATACAAACATTCAAGTATTTTTGGATTCCTTTAGGTGTCACTTTTATTACATTAAAACGGCAATTACAGAATACTAGCTCAGCACAGTTTAAGAAGAATAGTAATGTATCAAGCTGCAGTTTATTTCAAAGATATTACAAAGACATATAGTACATGATTTGTCCAGTTATTGTGATTTCAACTTTTTGAAAGGTTTTAAGTTTAACTTTGCTCCATTTCACATACAGTATAGGCCTACAGCTTAACAGAAGGTTCAAGGCAGTATCCAATAAACCATTCCCCCCTGATATCAACACATTATTAAGAATCTGCACAGTTCCCACTCTGAGGTCCCTAACTGTTATACTGTCCATTTCTCCAGTAGGCTACTTCTAAGAAGTCTAGAATTTAGTTTTACCAGTGAGCCATGATACTGTCACAAAACTTAAGAAATCAATAGAAAAGCAGTCTGTGAGATGCTTGCTTACACTGTTTCCCCCTCGGTTACATTGTTAACCTGGACCCATGTTCCCGCCGTCGCTACATCACTCAGGCCTATCCAAAATCCGTTCTACCATCACATACCACCACCTCCCAGTTTTGGGACGTTGTCAATCATGGGTTGCTGTGATACTACTCTCACTCACGAGTTAAATTGCACATTTCAAGTTTGTCAGGTCAGGTAGTATTATGTACTATATGATCATTTAGACAGAAAATCCCAATGACAACAGCAGCCATCAGCAGTACTGCATTTAGCATTCCCAGGCTGATTATAACCAGACGGTGGTGTGTAAACGCAGATCCACTGCCCTGTGTAAACAGAACTTGATCATGTTCTTTTGAGTGAAAACCTTGATATTGGCTTATGTTTAAAACCTAAAATAAAAGTTAGAAAAAATGGGTTCCTACCTTTTAAGAGGTTACAGACATTATAGGTAGATGGATAGGATTGAAGAAATTAAATAATCACAGTTTTAGTTTAAAAAAACATAGAAAGAACATTACAAATTATATTTAACAATGCTTTCAAATATTTTGAAGAAATATTTAAGTCCCTTGAATGGTGTAGATTCCTGACTGAAACTATTAATTAAATAAGGAAATGCAATTAAATTAAAATCAGATTAACCCTCCGACCTTGGTGTCATTTGGCAAATCCATTTCAGTATATGATTGCATGGAGCATCATTCCAGGCTTTAAAGGGGTTGCCTCTGGGATATGTTGCTGCACAGTCCTCACCACCACTGTCGTTGGGCTCTCCATCATTCCAGTAACTGAAACAAATAACAATTTGAAACACATTGTTAATCACTTTTTCATTTTAAAGGATGATATCACAGATGGATTATAGCCACAGCTGTAAGTATGTGAAAGTGGTATCACAACAACTCCAAAAAACACAATTTGACTACAATGAGTCATCTGTTGCACTTTTAGTATGAACACGCCCATGGGTAGGAAAATAGTTTCTGTTTTGATTCTTAAAAAAGTCATAATGTGCTCTTCACCCTTTTCCACCTACACTTTGTGCATTCTGCAATTTGTTTTTTGTTGACCAGGGCGCATTATTTATAGAATACCAAATTATCTTTAACGTAACGTAAGCTCCTTATGGTTCTCTCTGGTCATTTGATTGGATGCTGTTGGAATGCTTCAGTGTGGATGTGGGTAATTAAAAGAAAGGTATTCATCTTCTTTGAATCAAAGTTCAAGTGAAGTCATACTGTAAGTGTTAATAAAGTCCTGTTGAGTCTAAAGCAATCACATTCGTGAATTTAGATCTTTCTTGTATGTTAATGTTACCCTGTGGTCAGTCTTGTTCCATCAAGCCATTTCCATATCCCTTCCTCCTCGATGTCTCTCAATCCGATCCAGAAGCCACTGTGGGCTATGGGTCGAGAGGGGACTCGATAATTTTTTATCAATTCAGTTATTGCCAGCTGCCAATGGAAATGTACACAAACAAACATGTACATTACATTCATTTATCTTGTTGGTTTCTGTGTGACACCAAGCACATTTACTGCTCAGAAATAAAATGTGAAGCCTTATAAAGAGAATTACAAAAGATGGAGTAGTAGTAGTCTTACGTGTTTCTCTCTGCTGTCGATCACTGCCAAGTCACCTCCTTGGTTTATACAGAACTGTCTGGCTTCCTGCCATGACCTTGGTGAAAAAGCATCAGAGAAAGCGAAGTAGTAACACACTGAGTACATGAAGGTCCATCCTGGTAGACAGTGTCTGCAGCCCTCTTCTGTTGCCAAAGATAAAGGAAAACATAATGTGTTGTAGGTTTGGTTGGGTCAAAATAATTGTTGTTAACACAATCATATGAAAAAAAGCCCTCACTAATCATTGGGATGTGGGATTTCAAAGCTGCTATTTCCATTAGAATGTTGTCACTCAGCTTAAGGTAGTCCATGCTTCTGCTTTTCTGGTGATCAAGCTCCCACTTGGTAATTTGCTGCTCCCTTATCTCACTGGCCAACTGTTTCTTGGCTTCGTCCCTGTGCCAGATCGCAGTGTCGTAAGCAGCCTGCAGTTTGGCCACCTCAGCACTGATGTCCATTATGGTATCCTGTCCATCGGTAAATTTACCATCTGTAAGTGGTCAAGACTTATAGTGTTACTGAAGAAATCATGTTTCCTTAAATCACAACACTTTTTACAGTATGGCCAACAGTAGAAAATACAAGCAGGAAAATGGTGAAATTAAATAATATATTTAAACAGGTATTCAAAACATTTGTATAAGTACATTGCCATACGTGAGTTATTTCTTAGTGTTTTGTTGTTGAGGTTTGTCAAGAGTTACATTTAAATGTACATCTATAGAAAGTTTAACTTATAGTATGTTATCGTATAAGCATGTTTGTTACGTTGCAATGCAAGCTGTCATACAGCATTCATTATTGGTCTGTGAGCACTGACAGGAAACAACACTATTATGTTCCTACCAACACATATAGTATAATAATTACCTATCTCCATCAACTCCTTAGGAAAATATCTAGCTAGCTCTTAAGCTAAATGCTACTGTACAAGCTAGCTAGGCGTTAATTTAGCTTCCTAATGAACAGTGGGTTTATCAGAACCTTTGGAAAATGTGATGAGTGGTGATCAAAAACAGTCAAACTTTGAATAGCTTTAACTCTAGTGTTAACTTCGATTTTTCTACTTGAAAATTAACTTTGCTCTCTAGAGTAGGCTGACACATTGGTTTTAAAAATAGTTAAATTGCAGTGGTGCTGCAACATTTATCTCAAGTACTGTATGTAGGCTACAGTACCTTACATTAAAGTTACTTGAATATTTCCATTTTATCCTAATTTATACTTATACTTCATTACTTTTTGAATGGATATGTTGTATCTTTTGCTCGACTATATTTGATACCCTTATACATAAACTAATTAAAGCGTCAGCTAAATGCAATAAATAAAATTAGAGCCTCTTTCAGGCTGCAAAAATATAGTACAATGCCACAATGCTTTGTGCTGCAAGATGGTGGGATAATAACGACTTACAATAGACTCCCAGGCCAATGTCCACTGCTAGTAGAATGACAGCAAGCACTGCAAGGCTTACTGTAAGCCGTTTGTAATGTTTAAAACTGGATTCAGGTCTCAGCACAGACATGGACACTGCACAGAAGTGATGGACCAATAGCAAAGACAAGAAAATGACACAATATAACAGCAGGTCAATATAGCAAAAATAGTAAACCGTATATTTTTAATATGGTACCAGTATCAAAGTACAGATTACAGTTTATTTTAGACGTGGGACGTTTACCTTGTTCTTGTTCTTGGTTTGAATAGAGAGTGAGCTCATCTCCACTGATGTCCTCTTGGTGGATCAGTTTGTTATAAGAACCATCAAATGTACCTGCATTTTCTGTGTCCATTTTAACTATGAGGATGTAAGCAGTCTTTAGTCTGACGTGACTGTTCAGAAAGGACTATTTGTCAGGACCTTGCCCTGTGTGTGTGTGTGTGTGTGGTGTGTGTGTGTGTGTGTGTGTGTGTGTGTGTGTGTGTGTGTGTGTGTGTGTGTGCGTGTGTGCGTGTGTGTTTATGTGTGCATATGTGTGTATGTGTGTGTTAACATCATTACAAATAGAACATCTAGTTCATTTGTTAAACATTTACAGGGGGATGCTTGAATTTGAAGAGCTGTGTCATTTTCTGATCACAAAATCAGTTATGTAAACAACAATTCATGCATTTGTTTTATTTATTTAGGTGGCACTTTTATTACACTACGTTTACTTTCACTAAATAATTATTCATCCGCTGCAGGACAGTAACAGAATACTAAATTATCACAGTTTAAGAAGAAAAGTCCAATGTATTAAGCAGTTTATTTGAAAGATATTTCAAAGACATACATGATTTATCCAGTATTTGTGATTTCCACTTTTTGAGGGGTTTTATGTTTAACTTTGCTCCATCTTACATTTACACATGTCGGGCAAATAAATAGTTAGACATTTTGACAATACTGTAGCGACCCTGTATAGGATGCTGAGGGTGTCACTCAGGCATCCCCCGTCTCTAGAGCTGCACAGTGATGCTGGTTGAAGTGCGGGCCTGTGGTTGGGGGAGCAGACGGGGGAGGGCGGGGAAGTTGGGACGTTGACACTGATATATATATATATGGGTGTGAGTTAGAGTTAGTGTGAGGTTGAACCCACAAGCTGTACATGAACTTGTGATCATCTGAGAAATAAGAAGAGTTATTAAAGCCTAATACCTTGAAGCCTGTTTCCGACTCCCTTTGTGATCGTATTATATTACCAATAGAGTTAGATAAGTTAAAAGATACCATTCTCATAACTGTTTGATACGAATGAAGCTACAACCAAGACTGATGTGACTGTTATCAACTGCATTGAAGAACAATTGTTAATATTTCCATGGTTATTTTCTTTTCACACCTTGGGCTCCATTTTGCATAACCATTCCCTTTGTTGTTCGCAGGGATCATCAAAGAATGTTTTTCTTGGGTTTTTTAGGTTAATAAATGCGACACAATGCTGTTGCTCTGTTCCTTGGGATTTGGTGGGCTCACCTATTATCCAGTACCTGAAGAAAAATCCAAGTTATGCTTAAGAATACATTGAATAATAAAATACACTATTAAAAAATGTATTGTGTCCACTTTTTTTAATCACATACAATTGAACATTTATTTTAAATTGTACTTATTTCACACTCAATGCAGCGTGAGAAAAGCAGCATGTGGTCATGGCAAGCTAAAATGCCCCACAGATTGATACAAAAAGTGTATTATTAACATAAGGGCAATCAACCCACACTCTAAGGAAATACTTTAGTCTCTTGATTTTCTTAATAGTAAGTTAATAAAGCGAGCCATTACATAAATTACTGTTGAGTCTGTAAATGCCATACAGTCTATGGTAAAAACAACAGCACAGTATCTTATCTAAACTGTTAAGGTCATGTATTCAATAAAAACAGAACAAGTGCAGTGAAGTATGAAAATTATAGGTAGCCGCAGGCTTTAAACAGACTTGATAATGCTAACGCTAACGACTGATTTTCTTGTGTTTTTATGATGAACTATACACTAGTCTGCTACTCCTCTACCATATGAACACCCACACAAGATTTGACTACGGTTAGGGTGCCAATTTTTTTATTTGTAATCTATATATTCACTGAACATGAGAGTGGTATCGATCTTCTAATCTAACTCTCAACAAGAAAGTAAATTAGTGTATTTTCTAAAATGTGAAATGATTCTAGTAATACTGCAAAGTAAGTCTTAAAGCTCTTACCCTGGATTCTGCAGAGGCACATTGTTTACCCAAACCCATTGGCCCTCTGTTTGAATATCCGTAAGGCCGATCCAAAACCCCCCCTGCGTGCTCCACCACGGTCGAATCCTCGGATCCATTTTAGGTAGGAACTCAAAAAGATTAAGCTAGACAAACAGAGATTACAAAATCAAAATGGGTTAATCACAGGTATATCTGTAATGTATTTATTAGCAGTGCAGGCCTAAGTAGCGACTGATGAGATACTAGATTCATCATCCCAATTTGATGTAGGCCTAGTTCCTAGGATTTATTCACTGAATGAAGCTTGGAGCCTCCACCCACGTCTCCTCCCAATGACACCATTGCTATTTTAACCTAGCTTTAAACTTACCTCATGAATGTCAATGGGAATTTGTCCACAGCAGTAAGGGCCTTTACAGCCTTTCCAATGTGAGGTGCAAGTCGTTATGAGTCCTCTGCGCTTCAGGTTAACCTTTCTAACCTTTACACCACTCTCCTTTTATTAAAATGGCTATGGTGTCTGTTTGTGGTCATGCTAGATCATCATGCACATGCTGAGGCTTTGGTGAGTAACTTGAGCCAGACCAAATTAAACCCAGCTGGAGCATTTGTTCATTTTATTTCAGGCATTTTGGTTGAGCCCTGGTAGTTTTGGCTATGATGCTTTAATTATCAGAATTTACTTCAGATAAAACCTACTACTAGAATTATTAACTTCCTCCATGTTTCGACAGCAGGTACAAGTTGAATGTGTTGGCAAGCAAGCTAGAATAGTGAGCCACACCACAATACAGTACAGTGCTACCTTATGTCCATGAATCATCAAAATAACACCCTTTTTATCTCCTGTATATTCATATTGGTCTCACCTGCTCCTCCAAGCTATTAATCACAGCCAGATCGGCCCCACGCCTGATACAGTCCGATCGGCTATCCTGCCAGTTTTGCCTGCCAGGATTGGAGGCTGATTTACCATGGAAGTAGCACGATGTGTTGAGTAAAAGCCATCCTGATTGGCATCGTCCACAACTGTCTCCTGTTAAAAGATGAAAATGAGTTGAAATCCAAACAAAAGGAAAACATTTTATTCCAAATTCAAAAAATGTATGCAATAGCTTCTCACGCATATCAGATGAATTGGACTTCAGTGTAGCTCTCTCCACTTGCAGTACTTCAAGACTCCTCTGAATGCTGTCGATGAGGGTCTTGTTCAACCCTAACAGCAGTTTTAGTTGCTGGTGTTCCCTTAGCTCTTTCTCTACTGCTTGCTCTGCCTCTTTTTGAGCTTTGACTGCTTCAGTCTGCATTATTTGAAGTTGATTCACCTCTATGATGAGCCCTTGTGCTGTTATTTGGTCTGGAGCAGATTCCTCACTGACTTTGCCACCTGCGACGAGCGAAAGAAAGGACACCTTTTTGATTAATCTTATGGGCAATTGTCAAAAGAAGTTCAATTTGTTTCTGTATTTACCAAGTTATAGCATTGGGTAAGAAAGTGTAAATGTAGTTAAGGATCTAAGTTGAAAAGCACGTCCACAGCCTAGTTAATGAATTGTTACAGTACTCAGAACCTACTCTAAATAAGGAAAGTATAGATATACACCACATTACTTGGATCAGATGTACTCACAGTAAATCCCAATAATAATAGCAGTCAGAATCAGAATGGCATTCAGCAGACCTAAAAACCCGATAACCAGTGTATACAGTGGCAGACTTCTGGACCCAACTGTGACCATAGATCCTGAAAAACATATGTTGATTTGAGCTCGGAGGGAAAAACAGACAATAATACAGCATTTTTTCTAAAGATGTATTGTGAGGACCAATTAAAGCAAGCCTACCATTGTTTTCCTGTTTTGCCATAATTTGAAATCGTGAATCATGAACATTCCTCTGGTCTTCAGGTTTTAACTCCACTGCCCGAGCATGTTACTTTTATCTGTGTGAGGAAATTGCTCTGTCAATATTACAAAACTGTGTGGGTGCAAGTGTGCGCTTGAATCCCTTTTACCCTCTCTCTGTAATGTGAAAGTGATCTGAAGGTGTTTTTTCTCTCTTATTTAAGATGTGTATGGGAAGGCCACATAAAGTTACATTTATAACTTCTTATAATATAAAAATAAATAAATTGTATGTAATGTATTTACTGCAGAGTGCTCCGGTGACCTCTAATGTGCCGCCCACAGGGCAAAGATCGAATCAAATGGGTGGTTGGTGATGTGATGTACCATAAGTCTAACAGTCTGCTAGTTGGTTGTAGAAAACAGTAAAACTGATTATTTGTAACCTAGGGAAAATTGCCATAATACACGCTGAAGAAGTGACACCTACCCTTTTATACCAAGATAATGTATTTTATTTTAGGTTATCTGATATACATTATATTTTTGAAATAAATAACTACAATATTGTAATATGATATGATTTTTGTATGAATGGGATACCCTGTGGCTCTTATTTTCCACGTAATTAATTTCGTAGATTATAACAACATTTACATTTCTGTTTTATCCATTGACAGGTCGTATTTAGATTTTATTCCAGAAAATGTACTATAGCCTACAATTACACATTTTGATATGTTAATGTAAAACAAGTTATAAAGTGACAACATGTTACCAATATTACACAACAATATGGTAAGTGTTTTAGGATTTGTAATGAGTAGTAGGACACTCCCCTAACATTTAAATTAGGAGTTTGATACTTAAATAGAAATACATATTGATACGTATGTAAAATAAACTATATAAAATTGGAGATAAAAAATATAGTAACATTTAATTAGATTTACCCCAAATAAATAAAGATTCAATGTGAAATAACATCAAGATTTGTAATAAACAGGTAGGCCTAACCTTTACCTACCGATGGATGTCTAAAGTTTTGTCTCTTTGTTATTTTACTTATTTATAATTTATTAATTTATATTATGAAAAAGGCATAAAAGTGAGCAACGCACTCGAAGTACACAATTGTCTTGGAGGTGATGAAAACATTGCAGTTTTTAAATGTAATTAAAAGACTTTTAGAAAATCACAGGAGACCGTTTAATTTGACAGTTTCCGGGTTTGAGCGAAGGGGGAACAGCCAAGAGGGAATGGACCCGTTTTCTTTGTGTTGTTGACCCTTTAAATATTCGTAACTATTGTGTTTGTTATGCATACTTACTAAACACTGTAACGTGGTAACTTTACCAAGATAGTTCAGGATTTGATTGCGAAGCTGTACTTTATTTTTGCTAGCGTGTTAGCCAAGTCAAGCTAAACAGAGTAGAGCCATACCGGAAATACGCTATTTTGCCTTTCAGTGTAAAATACACGACGACCCGCTACAAAGACGAACCTTTTATTGTGAAACTTCAAAAAGTTGTCTGAACGTTGTCACTTTTTGTCATGCTTGACGCTAATGTACGTATGTTCCTACGTTGTATTTGTCTTTACATTGAGTCTGTCGAGTAGTCTTGAGGCATTTAGTAACTTAATAGGAATACTTTGACGGGCCTATTTGTTTTAGCCGACACGGATAACGTAAACATGTTAGACGTGTGTGCGGTATTGTAGGAGTCTATCAGGAAGAGTTGTGGTAGGCCTGCTCGGGTTATTTACATCCCTGCCAGTGGATAACAAGTCCCTAAACAGACATGTCACTGGGAGACTATGAAAGACATTTCGACTCGCTAAATTCAGATTTGGGCGGCGGGTCGGTGGTCAGCGAGCGGTCAGCGGCCAGCACGTATGGCGAAGAGGAGAAGCTGCATTACATTCCCATCCGGATCCTCGGGAGGGGGGCGTTCGGGGAGGCCACTCTGTACAGAAGATCTGAGGTAAGTGCTGGCCCAGGAAAGTGTTCCTGTGTTTAAAAGGCACGGATTTATCACACAGTATCCCATGTCACATGTGTGTTCCTCCACAAAAAACATTGTTGTTGAAAGTGTTTGTTAATCACTGTAATAACAACAGACTCGTGAAAATATGTAAAGTTATAAGGTCCCAAGTCAACAACTTTTCCTTGAAAAGTCATGATCTGCAGGCAGTCTTCATCATTGTAGTTATCCTTTAGTCTATTAATGATCTAATACAATATAAACACAATGAGATAGCTATAGGTTAAGAAAAACCATTGGGGATTTATATACAAAATGTTTAGAGTAATACATAAATAAATAGTCATTTCTTTATTACAAAAATAACAACACGACTGAAAGAGCAAACGCTTGGAAAATGGGCCTGAATCAAAACAGCAAGATATGAGATACATAACTACACATATTTCTTGCTATTTTACTATAGTTAGTCAGAATGTTTTAGAACTGGTGCTTACTGTGTAAACAAATTAAACAGATTGTGCTGTTAATAGTGCTACATCTTGTTTTCTTAGAGTATTATTATGATTTGCTGTATAGGATGTGTCTGGCTGACTGAATTGCTCACTGTTCCTCAGTTTCCATACCCCTGTGAGAAATTCCTGAGAGTTCACTAGATAAATGACTTTCCCATGCCTTGCTTCTTTGTCCTGTAGTCGAGTTTGGTGCATATACTAAAGGTCTGAAGACCCTTTTATGCTACCTCTCCCATGAAACAAAGTAATCTAAACCAATGATATGTCTGATATGTTTGTTGCACTAAACATGTGAAGTTTTTCTCTCTGTCTATTCGGTAAGCTGGTCAAAATAACCTATTTTAACATTTCTATATAATGACACGTCCCCTCCGGCCATCCTATAGGACAACTCTTTGGTGGTATGGAAGGAGGTGGAGCTGAACAATCTCTCCGATAAGGAGCGCAGAGATGTCATGAACGAAATAAGCATCCTCTCCATCCTGGAGCATAACAACATCATCGCCTACTTTAACCACTTCCTTGATAAAAACACCCTGCTCATCGAGTTGGAGTATTGTAATGGTAAGTAAATATTGTGTCCATTCTAAAGATTTGATCACGATTAGACTGACTGCAGTTCATCTGTGACACAATGCTAAATGGTCTTCTTATCACAGGAGGAAATCTGTATGATAAAATCAACCACCAGAATGGCAAACTTTTCAGTGAAGAGGTACGAGTGCAACACTGCAGGGAATTACATTTGTATTCTTATTTAAAACCGACATGTCTATTATATCTTTACCTTTTAACATGTTTCTTTAGGTAGTCATATGGTACCTGTACCAAGTTGCCTCAGCAGTGTCGCACATTCACAAGGCTGGGATCTTACACAGGTAAGATGTTCAGTATGTTTCATGCCCTCATCAATGGCATCTGCAGGACTTTTTCGTTTGTTTCAATCAATGATGTTATGTTGCCTTTGCAACTTCATTTCTTTTGCAGAGATATCAAAACTTTGAATATTTTCCTGACTAAGACTGACCTCATCAAGCTGGGCGATTATGGGCTTGCCAAAAAGCTAGACAATGAGTTTTCAATGGCGGAGACTGTAAGTTGTGTTTTTTCCCCTTGAGCACCTTTAATCAGACTGGCAATGATTTAGTAAAAAAGTGTTTATACATGTGCAGAAAATCTATGAAAACATTTGAATTTTAATGTGGTGTTTTCAAAGTGCTGTAAACTGCACACAATTGTAACTGTCACCCTGCAGGTTAAGTGATGTTGCCAAAAAAGTATTATTGTGTTTATAGCACAGCAACATCTTGTTTAATTTGAAATTAATTTACCAGTATACTTCATAAAGTACCTACTATGTTCTACATATATATGTAATTAACCACAGTGGTCAATTGATGGAAAACCTTGACCACGCACCTTGAAAATACTTGAAAGTGCTGATTTTAGTCTTTGGAAACAAGTAGGAAGACTGAGTTTCCCTTTCACTTTTCTCTTCCTCTGTAAATCCAGTGTGTGGGAACTCCATATTACATGTCGCCTGAATTGTGCCAAGGAACGAAGTACAACTTTAAATCAGACATCTGGGCCATGGGGTGTGTCATTTTTGAAGTGTTGACTCTCACAAGAACGTTTGATGCAACGGTAGGTTTGTTTACTTGCAGGAAATACTTTGAATTCTTTGCATTGATCAGAACATTTTATTATTTTTATCAGAAATAACTCACTCGGCTGCTTGTGTCCACCAGAACCCTCTGAACCTCTGCGTGAAAATTGTCCAGGGCAACTGGACTATGGAAGTGAACTCGGATGTTTATTCATCTGCATTGATCAAACTCGTGTATGAGTGCCTCGATCAAGTGAGTGGGGGGGGGAATAATCCAAAAAGAATGTTGTGTGAGATTGTCATCATACAATTGGTTTGCCAGAGATAATACAGGGTCCTCCATGACCGCTTTCACTGTAAGTTCTTATCTGTTTGTGTCGCAGGATCCTGCAAAGAGGCCTACATCTGACGAGATCCTGGACCAGCCAATCATCTCCTGCTGCAGACAGTAAGTTGGTGGACAAGGAGCGTGTTCCTTTTTCATTTAAGGATCAATTATTTTTGAGTCTGTTGTCGCAATTTATTCAAAAACATTCTTGACAGGGAGCTTGAAGAGCGCGTTGCCCTGCTGAATTCTGCAATGAAGAAACCAAAGTAAGTTGTTAGTGCTTGTTTTATATTCTGCATTTTCCTGTCTATAGTGTTGGCTAGAAAATCCTCTTGGTGTTGGCTTAAGGTTAAGGTGAACCTCTTTAGAGCTTATTGTACTCCTCTTTATACTGCCTCCTTGTGGGTCAAGTTGAAGAAGGCGAGCCTCCAGAAGCTCCAGGTTGCTTATAATGATTGTCTGCGTATACTGCTTAGAAAACCAAGGTGGTGCAGTGCAAGTGAAATGTCTTGTAATGCACAAGTCAACACGTTCCATGCTCTCTTGAGAAATCTGATGTACAAATTCATCTGTCGATTGAATGTTTCTCATAACTGTCATTATGCTGCTGTCAAATCCTTGTCTCAGTACTGTACGATACCAGTCACCTCTGTGGAAACATTGG